CTGGGATGCAAGATGGTAGGATTGTTTACATTCTTAACCATCGGTTCTGCTGTCATCGTGGATCTTTGGGACATCCTTGATTACAAGAAGGGGTATACCATGGTACGCTTTTACTGTATCTTAATTATGCCTTGGCTTAAAGGGTGATTGAAGGATCACGTGTGGAGACATTTCTCTGCAAGGGCCTTGTCCCTTATCGCGCTTCCTCTTTGCGTGTATCTCTCCTTTTTTTGGATCCACTTCAAAGTTCTGAAGTATTCGGGGCCTGGCGATTCTTTCATGAGCCCTGCTTTCCAAGAAACACTTCACGGAAATGAGCTGTTGATGGACAGCCAAGGTATGTGTGACAATGGGCACCGATTTGATCTGCTAGCTAATTTTATCGGACAGAAATTCGGTATTACGATATTATCGTCTTGAAACATAGAGATACAAAGGTATTTCTGCACTCACATATTGAGATGTATCCTCTCCGCTATGAAGATGGGCGTATCAGTAGTCAGGGTAACTATTGTATTGAGCTCGAGATGCTTTGACGAAGAGTACTCACCTCTCACCCAGGCCAACAGGTCACCGGATACCCTCACAACGACACAAACAATCACTGGCAGATCATTCCAACGAAGGCTCTCCCAGAAGCAGGCCATGGGCGCGTCGTGCGTCACAGTGATATCATACAGCTTCTTCACGTCAATACCCAGTCCCATCTCTTGACGCACGACGTTGCATCACCATTGATGCCCACCAATCAGGAATTCACAACCCTAGCCAAAGATGACCACAGTCGTTATAACGACACGCTTTTCCAAGTCAATATCGCTGATGGAGACGATGGCCAAGCCTGGAAGACGAAGTCTGGTCATTTCCGTTTAATTCATATCCCAACACGGGTTGCGTTATGGACACATCCAGAACCTTTGCCACGTTGGGCGTTTGGTCAACAGGAGATCAATGGAAACAAAAATACACAAGAGCGATCAACTATTTGGTTTGTGGATACCATAGTTGCAGACGAGAGTACGCCCCCCAATCATGGATCCATTTTGTGCACTGAACAATGATTGCTTCCTAGACGGACTAGAAGCTCATGACCGTGGAGAGGCTACATCACCCAGGACAGTTAAGCGCATGTCCTTCTTCCGCAAGTTTGGGGAGCTACAATTGTTAATGCTTCAACACAACGCCGGTCTGACGGCATCACACCCATACGCCACTGGACCTATCAACTGGCCGTTTCTCCTTAGTGGTATCAGTTTCTGGACCGAGAACGAACAAAAACAGCAGATATACCTCGCTGGGAATCCACTTGGTTGGTGGATTTGTGTGATGGCGTTGTCTGTGTTTGCTGGAATTATTGGGGCGGATTTAATGGCACGCAGGCGAAATATCAAACCCATCCCAGAAGGTGGGCGGGCCCCAAACCTCTTCATGATCTTAACTCAAAATTGTCTCAGGAATCCGCAACCGACTTATAAATTCCACTGGATTTTTTGTTGCGGCATGGGCATGTCACTATTTCCCTTTCTTCCTCATGAATCGCCAGTTATTCGTACATCACTATCTACCGGCGCATCTCTCATCAGCACTGGTAGCAGGATCAGTGTTGAACTTCCTCTTGACAGAGTCTATCGAATACCCTATTTCTATTGAGCGTCGGGGCTTCACTCGGTCTAAGGCCCGCACCTACACCGATTTCGGATTCCGCGGTTTTGTGGTTACGGCGGTGCTCTTTACTATTCTTACTTTCTCATTTGTATTCTTCTCTCCATTGACGTATGGCACACCTGGGTATGTGTATTTCGCTATCATAAGCCATCCCACTCTTACGGAAATGAATTAGACTGTCGGGTGAGGAGGTAAACAAACGACGCATTCTATCCAGTTGGACGCTTCATTTTGCTGGCAAAGAGCATGAGGTGAGGTCCGCGATGCGTAGAAAGCACGGCAGTAGCTGATTAGTTTTTTTGTAGAGTACGTGATTTGGGCTTGTGATGGGTGTATCGAACCCTACATGATTTGGCAGGGCTTTTAGTCAATGCTCATAATACGTAGTTTTTATCGTAATGTGTGCTCAGCAATTGAAAAAAATTTGAACCTAAATATTGACTTGACGATCACATGATGAGACGGCGAGATCCGTAAAACTTGCCAGTTGTTACAGCTTTAGCCTGCTCGCAGTCCTTGTTCTAAGATGGTGCGTGAACGGAGCGCTGACGCACTATTATCCCGGAACTTGATTGCTTCATTTCTGCCAGGGTAAACGTACGAAAAAGGTTGGGGTGACTGGGAAGTATGGAACAGTAAGTGGTTGGCCTAAGATCGCTTCACCCAAGCCTGACCGTGCAATTCAGCGATATGGTGCTTCCCTTCGAAAACAAGTAAAGAAAGTATGGATTTGTGCCAAGTATTAGAAATATCCTTCGCATTCCTGAGATGATTTTAGATGGAAATCACACAGCACGCCCGGTACACCTGTACCTTCTGTGGCAAGGTATTTAACCCATCGGCCCTTTTTTTGGTTATTCCTGAATACTGGCTTGTACCTCCAGGATGCTATCAAGCGGACGCATGTGGGTATATGGAAATGTCGAGGCTGCAAGAAGTCTATTGCTGGTGGTGCCTGGACGGTGTCTACTACGGCGGCTGCCACTGTGCGAAGGTATTATAGTCCTCGTTCCACTTGTCTGCGGTGCCTGATCACTATATCCCACTAGTACCGTTCGCCGCCTGCGAGAGCTGACAGAAGCCTGACCAGTTTATATATCTATACATTGCCCTCCATGATGATAATGTCAGATGCGTTCCTTTCCTAACGAACACATAAATAAATTGGCTGAGATCTTGATCTGTACAAGTGTACATGTGAGGGTTGTTAGGGAGAAAGGAGTCAAGTAGGTTCGTCGCCACTTTCATTCTCCCCTCTCTCGCTGTATGAAGACCCATCTTCGCTGCTTTCGTCAAACGTCAATGGGATGAACTCGTCCGTCTCTACCAGTTCATCTCGTTGAAGGTTGGAAGGCTGCACAACTGAAGAATCATCCACATTGTGTTTCGCTCGGATAATGTGGGGCAACTTGCAACGGGAATTAGGACAAGACCCGGAGGTTGCAAAATCTGGACATTCTCGAACATGCTGCCTGTCACAGTGCAAGCCACGGTCGCAGTAACCTAGGATTGCAAAATCGCGGCAGATACCCTCCTTGTGACTAAGCTTAACATGAGGATACTTGCATGAAGAGCCTTTGTTGCAGCGAGCTCCATTTGAGAAGTGGACACACACAGGGACACGTTCAGGAGTTGGCATGTGAGAGAGTAGGCAGGGTTTGTTGTTGCAGTCATCGTTCATAAAGCGAGGACAAATAGCGACCTTTTCAGGATTATGCTGATATGGGCAGTGCAAGCCATTCGTACAGAACCCTGAGTGCAGCAACCGAATGCCCAGTAACGTTCTCGTAAGATACCTAATGGACTGACAAAACGGATAAGCTGTACCTCGTGTTGTGAATTTTCTACATGGTTCATCAAGAGACGATGGCTTAGGCGGTCGAGGGACAGATCTGGGTTCCTCATTAGCGCAGTGACAGAATGGTAGACTTGGAGAAGGAAAACTGACTTATCAGAACGCGTTCGGCGATTTTGGCCAATGACTCGACGTTTTAAATGAAATCCAGGTCCTACATACAATGATTTGACCGAGTGGCGAGAGTGCGAAAGGTTCGTTCCAGAGCGTCCTAGTCTGCTGGCGGCAACCAAGTTGCCACGTTTCGTTCGTACCATGGTGGCCTGTCGAGCCAATGAAGTGGACGAGAAACTTGATGACACAATGTTGCTGGAAGAATCATGAGATGTTGATGCATTTGGTGGCGTAGTGGTACCCGTCGAGATTGTAATATGGTCGCGTGGCGGAGTTGATGATGCATCATCGCTATTGTGCTTGCGGACAAGGGATCGCTTGGAGGCTGTAAAAACTGTGCCATCTATGGTGACCTCGCGGGATGGCTCATGAGTTGGTGTATAAGTTTGAGCCCTGTGGGTCGAAAGAACGCTGCGATGGCTTAACAAGGGACTCTGCGATATTGTTTTGCGCGAAATGGCATCTGGGAGCTGATGTGAGACGCCTGTCGTTGGGACAGGGAGGTGGAAAACCTACTCTTTAGTCGCGCAATCTCTTGCAGAAGCTGTTCGTCAGTTGGCATCATGTACTGAAGTGTTAGAGGGGAGGGCAGTTATCACGGAGAGTACGGATCCGAAGACACGAGGAAGACGAGCTAATAGGGTTTCTGGTGCAAATTCAAGCCGTCAGCAAGGACTTTTAACCTTGACAGTAGCGTTTGTCACTGAGGGTCGGCAACCGAGGTTGTGACCGTAGTTTTGTGGCTGTGCTAGCTATCCCAAAAAACAGCGGGATGTTTTCCTCTGCACATAATGAAGATAGTATGCAAATAAACATAGGATGTTGTTTGTAGTGACCTATATTAGTGTACTTTAGGTTTGCTTTTTCTCGAATGTGCTTCATTGTTGACAGTACTACACTGTGGGAAGTAAACTCTGGTAAATTACCAAGTTTTCGTAGGTAAAGGACCATTTACTAAGTTTCGGGTGGTAATTGAGGAATGGTAATGTACCAACTCACCTGACGAGGGTTGGTAACCAAGTTCTGTGTACCATCTTTTACCAGATATCCTATGGTATTGAGCGACGTGACACATAGTGTAGGATTTCATGTTATGTACACCAGTTTTACAGTAAAGCACGATGTACTGTACCGGAATGACCAACAACCTGTCACGCGTCACACAAGCCTTGCGGTTTGGTCCATTTTCAAATTTTGTCACATGTCACACAAGCAATGCGGTTCAATGTCTGGTGTCACACTACTTTGGAGGGGCAAGGTGGCTATGCCAATATTTGATTTAAAATTTCCTAAATTGGTGATAACAGCGTCAAAATTAAAAATAAAATGCCTCCATCTCCTGTCCTAAGTCCCTCACACGTTTAACTCATTTACCGCGTCCCAACCCATAATTGGCTGCTATGGGGATTTCTACATCATCGCCCTCAGCAGCAGCGGAACCTAACTGGAGGCCACCATTCACTTCAGCAAGCCCCTCAGGTGCGCCCCCCCCATCTAGATGTTCACAGACCTCCTCTAACGTCACCTCTACATCATCCTCCACAGGTTCCGTGAACCCCCCTTCATTCATTACCATAGCGGAGTTAGGGCGAGTCCCACTATCATCAGTAGTAGGGTGTTTGCATGGTGCACTTATGGCTTCGGCAAGAGCAGCATCTTGTTGTGGGAGGTTGTCAAGGATTACCCGCAGTGGACGAGATGTGAGACTGAGATGTGATAAGTTGAATTCGCCTGAACGGCACAGTTCAAATGCCTGTAAACCATTATCGGGTGAGACGATGTTATGATACCGGAAACTGTAACTTGCCTTCTGGATCCGCTGAGGCTTATTTATCGAGTGGTATGCATTGACGAGAGTGGCAGGCACACGGTTCCTCAGTGTACCAAGTGTTGTGTCAAGTGTGACATCACAAGCGTTGATACCTGTCTGCAGTTGAGAAGAGACCTCATGGACGACAGCAGTTTGTTGTGAATGTTTTACTGCAAGCTTGAGGATGCGCTGGATACCGACATCACAGGGTTGCCAAAGACCCGTGCATCCTCCAGGAACGTAATCGAGGATGATCCAGGGATAGTTGTCGAACATCCAAGTCCGAAACTCGAGAGAGGCATGGACAGACCAGATGTCGAGTTGCCAAATGCACTCCTGGAGCTGATCAAGTGACAGGCGTTCCTTCTCGGTATTGAAGTAAGGGGCAAGGATATTTGAGACAAAGGATTTCATCATCTTCAGATTTGCCCAGTAGTTGTCTGTACCCGAGATCTCAAATAAAAAACCAAGATCAATTGCTTCGACATAGCGGAAAGAGCTCATAGTTGGGAGGCTAGCCTTGGTTTTCCCCTTAAAAATAGTCTGAAATGGTAGCAACACCCCACTGGCTGAGATTGCCACATTAAGGGTAAATGCTCGCTTCTCCTCCAGGCCGACGGTAGAGACTTGACGGGATCCTTTCCTTTCATAAGTTGAGGCCGAGCTCTGCTGGTAGATGACTTGTGTCTGATTGGAGTTGACCCTAAGGCTACTGGCGATTGCATACTGGCGAATAGAGTGGGCTTGACGGAGGAGTGAGGCGTGAAGCTGATAGTCGGCATCAGCTGGGGTCTTCTGAGCAGCACGTGTAGCACGTTGTAATGTCCAATTCATTTCTTCAGTGACAAGCTTCTGAACCCACTTCGTGCTCACTGCAAAAGTGCTTCCATCGCTTTTCACCACAGTCTTGAACATCTCAGGTTGCTTGTGTTGGATCTGTGCAACAATCATGCCACGGATCTGGTGAATGTCCAAAGCAGCGCCTGCTTGTCGAATGCTCGATAGCACCTGCTTGATCTCTTCGATCAACATTGGGTAGGATGCCTACATTATTTGCGTGAGTTTGGAGTGATACTAGCACTTGACACTCACCAATACTCCTTTTCTTGTGACAGAACCACCGGGACAACTTTCTTTTGCAACTTTCGCCAGTGTTGCTGCCGACCAGCATGGCTGTGCCCCGCTTCGATCAATCCACTTCCTGACAACATCGGCCCTCAGAAGATGGAATAGCCGAAGACTTCTCCTTTGACATGCTCTGACAACCTCAATTGGGCGCATCTGCCAGCCCACCGTTCCCGCAACCTCACTAATTATCATCCAGAAGACTGGCTGAAACCAGTTGGTTGCTGATGCTAATCTATGTGTGCTCCATCATGCAATCTTGGGCAGAATGTAAGTCATTTTCCGCTGCTTTTTCCACCGCTGAATCTGCCTTTTGGGTCGGGAGATCTCTGCAACAGGTGCCATTGCAGGATGTTGACCAAACAGGGGCAATGGCGATACCTGATCCACATTCCTCATAACGTCAGACTTTGAAATGGTGAGTTGCCCCTATACTCACCTCAACACTAGCTGCCACTTTTGCACGATGCAATCGCTGTCTATTGGCGGCCAACTCTCGGTGCCGCCGCTGCTGCCTTGCCGCTTCAAGGTGTGCAGCCTCCTGTAGTTCTTTCGATCTCTCTTTGATTCTTTCAAATCCAGCAGAAGTTTGTTCATGATATTCATCTGGGGTTACTTGGTGGAAGAAGCGCAGTAGCCCATGCTTTTTCTCACTTGGTGCGTGGCCAGGAGCTGGAGGCGTTAGGTTTGACTCTTTAGGTTCAGGTGCCACCTTCTTGTCCGTGAATTAGCTAAGTGTGATTTATGTATTCTTTTTGCTTCTTTGCTCACTTACCGTCTTTGTGCCAGTGTGACAATCAAGAATCCCATTTAGAAAGCTGACTCTTAGACTGGTTGAGTCGCTGTCCACATGAAGTGTGTATTGAGTTGGGAGGAGGTGATGTGCCAACACGTTCAGTGCAAAAAACCCGCAAGATGTGATATCGGTTTGGTCTGCTGTTGGTAGCGAGGCAGGTTTGAATGGGTTTGCCAGTTTGTCTAATCCCGAATAGGATGCATCCAACCACCACTGAATAATTTTTACAGCATCTGCCATTGCTCTCGACAAGCTGGTGGGAGCTCTGTGAAGGGAGTCGGCAAGAAAGACTGTCGAATTTTCTGGACTGACTATGAATGAGATCCAATGGTTTTGATCAACATGAAGAACTCCGCCAACGTGAGTTGCTACTCCAGAGACGAGTTCGCTTCCAAGGTGACGGAGCCCCTTGTATGTGTGAAGGTGCTTATAAGTGGCCAACCCTCTTTTTCCCCCAGAGATGCATCCAACAAGGTATTGAATGTCGAGAGGAGATATGAGCCTGACTTTTGGTTTCATCATTTTTAGGTTACCTTGCAAGATCTCGATATGGTGGATAATGTCAGTTGTGACCAGACACGAAATGGAGAGATATCGCATCAAGACTCCAATGGCACTCCTTCCAAAGCCAGACAATCCTCGAATCTCTTCATTCCATCGGCATGATGTAAGTCTATGCTGCACAGCCTTTATTGCAAGCCGCTGACTGGGACACCGTATTATCAGACTCTCTACCTGCCTAAGTGAGCCTTTCCACAGATTCTGTAGATCCCATAACCGAAGGTGAACTCTCCAAATTTCAAGAACAATTATCGGGACACAAGAAAAGCCCACTTCAACTGAAATAGATGGACTTTCGTCCTCTCTGTCAAAATCTGCAATAAGCCTCTTTATGCTGGATTGGTTGGGATGAGCGATCGAGTGGATGTCATCTTCACAGAGTATTTCCATTGATGGTTCTTTGTCACTGAGGCGTGTGGGAGAATTCTCTAAGCGAGTTTGAAGTGAGGTGAGCTTGAATGAGATAAACTCTTTGACTGATAGGGTTTCATGGGGGAAGTAAGACCCAATGAGAAATGTAGGAATGTTTTTGTATGCAATAGACTCCTCAGCACAGGAAGCAATTTGACTCGCAAGAGCAAACCCATCCATAGTCCTAGTCAGAAATTTTTGAGAGTTGCGCAGTGAATTGAGTCTCATTTCAATTTTTTCAATTTTTTCGGGTATAACCGTCACGCTGGCACATGCCATTTCCACCCATCCGTCATGCATCATTCCAGGTTTCAGGTTGCCTGTCACGCGTCACACGGGGTTTGCGGTCGGATGTCCGGTGTAAAATTTCTGTCACACACCAACCCATGCAGTAGTTGGTCATTCCAGTACAGTAGTCGATCATCGTCGACATCAAGGTGGGCTGTGCAAGCTCAATACTACAGCCTACAACTCCCCATTGCAGCGATGCTGTTCTATAACGAAACCTGCCACATACCGATGATACTGATGCTAAGTTCGCGATAATTTGTGTTGTGTCTGAGAGAGAAATGAAGGAGATTTGGGTGAGTGCAGCATTGTCATCAGCTCTGCAGGAGAGCCAGGATGTGGGTCGTTGGCACCTTGATGCCCAGGAAATTCGAAGTCGGGAGAGTGCATTCAAGTACTATATGCTTGATAAGCAGTGTCCTTCGATGGACATGTGTCAGGGCATCCCCTGACACGCCCCGCCCGATCCCCGCTCCGCTTCCCCGCTCCGCACCGCTCCCCCCTCCTCTCCCTCTCCCTCTCTTCCTTTCTTTCTTTCCTTCTTTCTTTCTTTCTCTTACATGGACCACCTTTCCCGCTGCTCAATGTATCACCGGCACGCATGCCCATTTCCCCTCCTGTATCTTACCACCCCTACATTGCCGCCACCACCGCCGCACTTGCCCTGCACCTGTTGGAGAAAGGGATCAAGTGATCTCCCAAACCATCAGGGAAGGGGTACCCCCCCCTGGCATAACGGGCGAGTAGTGTATGGATGCACGCTAGAGGTCCTGGGTTCGATACCAGGCTTGTCCATTTTATGTCATTTGTCCAGTCACCTGGTTTACCTCATTTGGATATCACGGAGTAAGTCCGGGCAGGCAACGTGCAATTTCTTCAGCACCCACAGCGGGCCCTCTCAGGATCTCCTGCAGAGGTACCCGGAGAGCCGTGGCTGTGTGTGAGGGTGACGTGGCGCACCCCACGTGATCGATCCCGCATGTATATAATAACAGCTGGAGTGGGAACCAAAGAAGTAGCCTTCTTCTCACATTTCCACTTCAGGCAAGTAGTGTAGCCTTCCCTTTTAATGATAACTCACATTTCCACTTCAGACTAAGTGGTCAGGGATGCTCACCCCATGATGGGATCGCCGCTACGCACAGCTGCTATTCGTCCCACCGAGTCCCGCACGCTGGGACCTCGCCGCTTTCGGAGCTGTCCCTGACAACATGGGGGTTTGAATCTACAGCAGACTGTTTGGAGTGACGCGTTGACAGTTTGGAGCGACGCATTAACAGTTGTGGCGCGTAAGTTGCATTCGGCAACTTCCAAGTCCCTTACCTTTGCCTCTCACCATCTGCCCTCCTCTCGACTTTAAATGCTATCGTGTATTTTGCCCAAAAACACGCTTCATTGAGACTTCTTAGCCTGTTATATTGCTCCACTAGTGAGGCAACACACTTTCCATGGCAAATGAGCCATAACCATCGGAATTCCAACATCATCAGTCTTATCTGACATGCCTTATCATGCATCCTATCACACGTCTTTCCACGCGTCTTTTGTCCTTCATTAGATTGCGATGCACTCTCCTCTTCACGAGTATAGCATATACTCATGGGACTCACCCGATCTGTGGATCTCTCTGTTGCACAGAAAATCAAAACTCCTGATCTGCAAGGCCAAGTTTTCACATGGCCTTCTTGGGCATGATGTCTGACATGTAGTCTCACGCACACTCGACGCCCTTGGAGAAGCTACATGGTTGGTCCCTTTATTGCTCTTGTGGATCTCTGTTCTAACTGACTCTCAAAGCTTGTTTCAAAACACCCTGAGCGTGAGACTATGAAATTGAGTGGGTCACTGAATGCCCAACCCGAAGAGCCGTATTGACAACTCATCATGCGATGTGATCGAGCATGGAGCATTCCATACAACAAACAGCAAGGGAAAAAGCAGAGTAATTGTCAGGGATCGGCCCCTGACCCCACTGTCAGGGCACCCAACCACACCCCAGAACCACCCTCCCAGACTTCCCCCTCTTCCCTGACCTCCCCATCCCTACATATCTCTCACAACTTCAGCCCGCATGTAAGCCCGCAGGAAAAATCACGTGGGTCAAGGTGAGCAACTCACCTTAACCCATGTGACACCTTTTCCGAGTCGCGGGAACATGCTCGGCTTCTACCCAGAGTCACGTTACGAACTGTACAGTACACTTCCCTTTTATAGTAGCCAAGCGGGGAATAGG